GCCAAGCGCGGCTTCCCCCGCCAGCGGCGCGATGGGCTGCGGGAACTCCACCGCCACCAGCGCGGGCGCGGGCCGAGGTGAGTGCGACGGGCGGCCGGGGGCGCGGGGAGGTCTGCGGAGCGAGCGAGGCCGGCAGGGAGGCGGCGGGAAGGAGGGGTGCGGGGATCTGGGGAGGGAGGGCGTGCAGCCCCTCTCCCCGTGTCCGCATTTCCCGGACAGAAGCAGTTCGCCGGCTTTTGGAACGACCGAAAGCGGGGTATTTCCCCCGCGCGGGGGCGGTCACACCTGGACGAGGAGAGCCTGCAGGGCGATCGTGCGGGGGACCGCGGGGAGGACTGGCCTCGGGGATCCCCCGCGGCTGGGAGGCTGGCGTCCTCCTGGGGGAGGGTCGTTACCAGTGGTCCCGAGTCCGAGCCCTCCGCTTGCACACTCGGCCCCCCTCCCCCAGGCCTCGTCCCCAGCCCCTCGGAACCCAGAAGCTGCCCCTGGAAAAGTGCAGCAGAGCAGTTCAGGAGTTTTTTTGGTGGGGATGTTGCGGGGATTGATTGCGGTTGAGAACTGCAAACAGGGCTCTAAATATTCATCCGAGTCGGTCTTGATGCTTTAGACCTGCTGGGCTGTTCGTAGGATTTCTCTGAGAGGCTGCAGTATAAAGGAAGCGTTAGATATGTGTGATAGAGTTTTAATATTAGCAGTGATCCGATCTTGTATTTTTCATTAAGAAATAAAAACGTTTTGAAACTTCTTTTACACCACTTCGTTTCGTTGATTGTCAGGCGAGGTCTTCTAGATTCCCCCGGTCCCCCAGGCTTTGTATCAAGTGACTTATTCTACAATTCACCCTTTCTCATTAACCCAGCTAGTTCCTCCTGATTTAAGAGTCTGAGTCTGTTTTGAGTAATAATCTGCTGACCTATTTTAGTGTCTTTTATTCCTCCAGCTGAGATCAATCAGGTGCCACTTCCTATCCCAACCAGCAAATGTATTAACAGTGGTCTGATGCTGCAGTATTTCCTAGACTGGAGTGGATGCCCTGCCAATGACTTTGTGACCTTGGGCCTGTCACTTCCCTTAACCCAGACGTTGGTGGAAGATGCAGTTTAAAATTCAAGCTTTATTTGTTTATTTATTTTAAAGTTTATTTTCATGTTCACATAATGGGATCAGATATGGAAATATGCTCAGTTAATTGGCCAGGTTCGTTTTTCCTCTGTGGCTGCCCGTGACCACACATATGGAATAGTTTAAGAGAAGGCACTAAAACATTTGAGATTCTAGTCTTAGAATGAACTCAAGTAATGATTCATTGAAAAGTTCATCCCTTACAGATAATCTTTATCATCTTGAATTAAATTCTCATCCTTATGTGATGCAGAGAGTCACCGGGGAATAAATCTTTTCTAGTCATGTAACAGTAACACAGGTTAGTTAGTGTCTTCTGCTAAGGAGGACAAGAACAGGATTCTCACCTGAGAGTAGCTGGAGAGCTCCGCATGGAAACCTGGAACAATGTCAAGGCCACATCGCACACCGTGAATTACATCTTTCAATCTAACGTGCCCTGAGGCCCTGTGCGATCTACCGCGTGTGCACTCTACTTTACAAAAGTTCAAGGACAATTATCCACATAAAAAAAATCATAGGAAGGATTCATAACGGATTTCCTTTAAAGTTGAGCTGGTTTAATTCATTTCCATTTTTATTTATTAATGAACTACTTGTCAGGTTTGGGGATGGAGGGAGGAGTAACATTGCTAAAATCAGAATGATGATGAAGTCCCTCTGAAATGGTAATGTAAGGAAATGGGAAAATATTCTCCTTACAAATATTTGGTTGATCTCTTTTTTCTCTTTTAGGAGCACATCCCTTATTACATAAAGAGATAGTTATGTTGAAAAACCACTCGAAGCTCATGTCTTCTTGATAAGTAGCCTCATTTTTGTTTATGAAGGACAGCTCATGCAAGAGCATCTTGTTCTCTCGCTTGCTCTTTGCTAAAAATTACTCTATGTTCAGAGGAAAGCAAGATAGCGCGTGCAGACTGTAAAACATTAAGGAGAAGAAAACATCACGAGCAGGGAGTTATTTCATTACCTCTTTGCAGGATCTGCCCTTGTCTTTGAGAAGTAATTCTCCCCAACATTTCCCCGCTGGTGAGTCCAGCTGGCTAGCTTGGGGATTTGGTCATCATTATTTTGAAATTTTCTCGTAGCTCATGGTAGGATTCAGTTTCAGAAAGGAAATGCATCAGGATAAGAGATGGAAGGTTAAGGAAAATAAATCAGAGTGCAAAGGTGCTCACATTTCTTTCAATTGGGAACTTTGAAATTGGCATCAAATATGCCGTCAACCAAGCTGCAAACTTATGGTACTGAACTCAAACACAAGGAAATGCATTAAATGGATGGTGTCCCTGGGCGTCAGGTACTTACAATGCGCAACTTCTGAAGTGTCCCAGAGGTCGTACAATTCTATAGCTGCACTTAAGATTTTCAGGGGGAGGGAAAAAAAAAAGAAAGATGTTGGGAAGGATGCTATCTTGAGCCTGGAGAGTGAGACTTAAGCTTGACTTTGGCACTGTGCTGGTTGCATTATTGTAGGCATTTCATTTCACTGTTTTGAGTTCCAGAGTGAAAGCTCTCTGTGCTGAAATAATTATAGAGTAGTGGAATATCACCATGTTGAAAGTGAAATGACTGTCCCTGAATATTTTTCTTGAAGAACATGCATGGCAAATCCACTTTTAAAGAATGCATTGGCACTTTGTGATAATGCCCCCAAACTTGAAGTCTCCATTATAAGCCCAGCTTTACTCCCTAAATCATGCAGGTAAAACCAGATAATTGTTTTTCCTTTCCCCTAATTATCTGGATAACTGCCTTTCTTGGTTTTTATCTGGTGGAACTAGTTAATATGACACATTGGTATTTAGTAGTGTATTTGAGTGAATTTGATTCCATATGTCATATATGTGGAGGAGAAATTGATATGCAGTGAAATGGTCAAACGGCCAGAAGGAATCAGCCTCTCAGTTGGTCAGGCCCCAGATCATTCAGGTTAGATTTCCTTTACAGGAGATTTCTAACCATGAACTTAAAAACATGTGTGGAGTGCTGTGCTCTCCTAGGAATTTAGGGCAGGGGTCAGGGCAGCCAGCAATGGATGGTTGTAGAGTGAAATCAAACTTTCTTGCTCTTGAGTAGTTGATAATCTAGGTAGGAAGATTAACCACATGAGGACCATTGCAAAGCAAAATAAATAGAATATACATTGAACATCCACATGCCCAGGAGATGTTAAATAATATAGTTTAATCGGGGAATGCTTCCGGGAGGAGTTGAGCTATCAATTTAGATGGGATCACGAGAACCAAGAACTTTCTGCATTTTAATGTTTTAGTAAAATCACTCTCGTTGTAGGAATTTGATTTTTCCCAACCAAGAGCTATAGTAGGAGGACATCTTGTATTTTCCATTCAGTGACAATTCAGTACATTTTTCCTGCATAGTCTAAAGTCTAGACTCTAAACTACAGAGAACCATCTGGATTAAATAGTCCATTTTTAAAGGGTTACATTTAATATAAGGTAGGAAGCTTTTGCTCTCTGTCCCCCACCCCCACCTCTCTGTCTCAGCAATCAAATTCTCTATCCTTTTGTTTTTCTTTTGAACATAGTCCCTAACTAGGCATTGGAATGAGTAAGCCGGCATTTGAGCTAATGATCTGCATGTGACAGGTCAGTCATTCCCTCTTATACAGTCATACGCATAGATGGTTAAGTGAGTCTGTAATGTAGACCAGAAAACTTAAAAGTTTGAATGGTCCCAAATATCTACAGTAGCCTATTTCAAGGCCAACTAAGGCTGTAGAAATTATTTGCAGCAGCAGAATTATTTCAGAAGTATTCAGCTCACGATAGTTCAATTGGTTAATTCTAGTTTTCTCCCAGAGTTGTGTAACTGCCAACTATCTGACCTTACCTTTTGGGCATTTTATTATTAGAATGTTTCTCTCAGGGTTCTTCTGCTGTTTCTATAACAGTAGTCCAAGGAGGAAGAGTTTACTAATTATTTATCTTATTTTATCAGTGTACCCAGGGAGTTAAAATAATTCTTTCGGGTCCAATTATTTAGATTAGTTATCTCCTCATCCTCAGTTAGACAGATCATTGCATCTTCTTCTTTTGATGTAGCTGTGTGGTCTAGGCTTAATACATCTACAAATGCTTTGGTAGTACTGAAATGCCGCCACTATGCTTGGCTTTCGTCTAGGCCTAATAATGGGGTAAATAAGGTAAAATTTTGTTGATATCATCAACAAATCATTAGTATCTTGTGCTACTTGGCTCACTTAGGCCCCAGCCCCACCATCCTTCTGTTTTTTAAACATACTGAACCCACTCTTACTTTCTCTCTATTTGAAACGCTGTTGGAGAGCTGTTATTTTGTTTATTTAGTGTCTGTTTTGTTCCCCTCCCCCACATGTAGATCTCATAAGAGCCTCATGCATCTTGCTCATTGCGGTACCCTCAGCGTCTAGACCAATATCCAAACTTTCAGTGGAATTTTTTGGCCCTCGGAAAACTTTTTCATTGAGCAAATGAGTGTGTTTTAGAAACAAAGATGGTATAAAATTAAGTCCTAAATTGTGTGGACACACTGTGACTGACATAGCAATTGAGAGAAGGAAGTAAAATCTCAAGCAGGAGGAAAGCCTGCTTGAAGAAGTGGGATCTGATTTCACTTTGAAGAATAGGTAAGATTTGGACAATCAGAAAACGGAAGGAGGGCATTTTTAGTGCCGTATGAAATTCCAGGGAACAGACATGTTCTTCGTGCATTTCCGGGCAGTGAGAAGTCTGGCCTGACTGGCTTTAATAGTTGGTTCCGGCGTGTTGAGAAGGAGGTGAGAATGGTCATGATTGGAGTGGGGGAGTGGGAGAAAAGCAGCCGAGTTGAGAGTGGGCTCCAAGGCCCAAAGGCTCCAGTTGGAGTCCTGCTTTTGTCATTTGTCAGCTGTATGACCTTGGGCAACTTGCTTAAACTGGCTGTACCTTAGTTTCCTGTAAGTTGGGGG